CGAACTTGTCCCTTCTCGACCCTCCAGCTTCTCGTACAGAGCGCCCATTTCCGTATTGTTGGCCTTAGTCACGGCTGCGTTAGCGAGTCGTTTGCAGCTCTTGTAGGCAGCGTAGTCTTCTGACCAGGAAAGGTCAACAGGTCGCCATGGCCATTCAAGATGAGATGCATACCGACGTGTGCGTCTCGGGACGCTGAACTCAAATCTGCTTTCAGAATTTGCTGAACGATTCTCTATGAGGAGTTAGGGAGGGGGTCGTTCTTGCATGGTGCTCGCCCATCCTCCTTTGCGTAGCTCAAGTTAAGTTCGAGTATACACGGCATCGAGTGGTCGGTGGTGTAGTGGATAGGTAAGTTGCTTCATAGATGGGAGGTCATGGGTTCAGTACCTTGACAGGTTCCTATTTTTGCATTTCTTCAGAACATCTTCTGCGCGTTCAGAAAATACTTTTACCCGTTATTTTGTCAAGCTTCCTCTTACTTGCAACAGGAAGAGACCTAAGTGTCGGCAATTGTGCTTCGCTTTCAAGGCTTTTATGCAGTGTTTTCCGTTTACTGCCCAAATCACCCGAAATCAGGTCAGTTTTTGACCGACTTTTTTATCGTAAGCAGAATTGGCTGAAAAGTTGCCTGCTCGGGTAGTCTGCCATTCTGAACATGATTATTACATCCGCTCGGCGCGAAACCTCCTAGCACACGTGCCACAGGCGCCAGCGCCAAAATACCCTGAATCACCAAGTTCGCTGAAAACTTGTCAATTGGGGTAGTTTGACTCCCTCAACACGGATATTCCATTAGCTCAATCCGAAACGCCTGGAGCCGGCGCCAAAATCACTAAATTCACCAAAATCGCTAAACTTTTCAAATGGATCAGTTTGACCTCTTAAACACGAACATCATCACATCTGTATGGGGCGTTAGGGATACAGAAAAAGAGTAAAGTGTTTGGCAATCTGCGTCTGCACCCCTCTCCTGATGGGGACCTTTCTCTGATAAGGCCGAGTCTTAGCAAAGGGAAGGATTTCCATGACCGCAACCAGGAAGAGCGCTCCGTTACTTCAGCCAGCTTGCCCAACTGCCCTAGCACACCAGCCCCGCATGAAAGCGAATGCAGTCTGTGCTACACGCGCCGGAGTCTGGACAAGCAGGTGATGGGTCGCTTGTGGCGTATGCTCAGGCGGTTTCAGACTGTACGGATGTGATATTCGTGTTTAGGGGGTCAAACTATCCCAGTTGACAAGTTTTCAGCGAACTTGGTGATTCAGGGTATTTTGGCGCTGGCGCCTGTGGCACGGGTGCTAGGAGGTTTCGCGCCGAGCGGATGTAATAATCATGTTCAGAAGGGCAGACTACCCTAGCAGGCAACTTTTCAGCCAATTCTGCTAACGATGAAAAAAGTCGTTCAAAAACTGACCTGATTTCGGGTGATTTGGGCAGTAAACGGTAAACACTGCCTAAAAGCCTTGAAAGCGAAGCACAATTGCCGACACTTAGGTCTCTTCCTGTTGCAAGTAAGAGGAAGCTTGACAAAATAACGGATAAAAGTATTTCCTGAACTCGCAGAAGATGTTCCGAAGAAATGCTAAAGTAGAAACCTGTCAAGGAACCGAACCCATGACCTCCCATCTATGAAGCAACTTACCTACCCACTACACCACCGACCACTTGAGGCTGTGTATACTCGTACTTAACTTGAGCTACGCAAAGGAGGATGGGCGAGCACTATGCAAGAACGACCCCCCCCTCCCTTTATAATTCCTCATAGAGAATCGTTCAGCAAATTTTGAAAGCAGATTTGAGTTCAGCGTCCCGGGACGCACACGTCGATATGCATCTCATCTTGAATAGCAATGGCGACCTATTGACCTTCCCTGGTGAGCTCCGTCTTTAGCCAGCGCTTGTATGCTTCCCTTCTGCTTGACGATCTCCTGGACTTCCTCGTTTCCGAGACAGGTTACCTTGGCTCCTCTGGTGCCACCGCGACTTTCTCCCAAGACTTCCTTTGCACACTTTGTAGGATGACTTCGACTGCGTGGGTCCAGGTGTTCTGGACTGGCCCATGTCGGTCTGAGAGCCCAGCATTCTTTGGCCGAGGCTATCCCTTCCTACCCTGCGCATTTTCCACCACCGAATTCTCCGCTCTGTTTTTACCCTCGTCTTCTTGAGACTGGGCGATGGCTGCTAGGAGACGCCTGAGGGCCCAACTCCTCGCCCAGGCAGTATACTGATATCCTTGACTGTTTCGAGAGACGACCTTCTTACCAGGACATGTTGATTTCCGTGTCTCTCTGCACTGCTGTAAGTTTTCTTTTGAGTCCTCCTTTTCGCGAAGAAGGTGCTACAGATTGCTAAGTCATGAGCCGTAGCTGAGTTAGAGATCCGTTCTTCCTCAGCAATTTTTGCTTCTATTCCTTGACCTTTGTGCCCTCTTCCCAAGCCCCTTCTGTCACTTCCCACATAGCCATTCAGCTCCACACCTATGTTGAGGTAGTCATCTTTCTAAACCGGTCTTATGCCCTCGTCCAGAGTCAGGCAGAACTAATCCTTTTCCGCCTCGGATAAATCGGATTGTGGTGCGTAGACTGTCCAGTCCCCTCCTTCGTAACCATTTTCACTCCCATGATCCGATCACTAATTTTGTACACACACCTGCTTCTCGTGAGGTCGCCAATCTTACGAGACTTCCCGGTAAGCGACCACACGTTGAGGGTACCAATTCGAATTGGCTTTTTGGCCAAAGTCATTCACCCCTCTGTAGCCCTTCCATGCTAACCGCAGAACTCGGGCGAGGGTTCCGCGCGCCATTTCAGGATTTCCGGGTAACCTCCTAGCTTTGACACTGATACTTCAACTTGTCATGAGTGTTGTGATGGGTTCCTCCATCAGCCGGCCTGTCAACCTGGGCCTGACTCTAGTATCGTCCCTATTTTTGCAATTTTTGCAAGGCATGGTCTGTGCCTCGGCGGAGGTCGAACTCACAGCTCAGGGCGCAAACATGAGTCCGCATTCTTGACCATTCGGCTATCTCTGCCTTGGCATGTATATTGTGTCATTGCAGGAACTGCTCTACAAAAGAGATGCTCCTTGCTATTTGTAGCATAATTTCTGAGTTTCGCCGATTTTCCCTATTTTCAGGCAGAATTCTGATCAACCGCGACACACATTTACAAACTGGGAACTCCGCTACTTACGCTATTGTACTGCGGAAAGGTTCGGCAGCTCCTCTCAGGGCCGGCATGCTTGCACCCATGACAAAGGGAGCTCGGTTACCAGTTCTCTGCTCTCGGTCAGCCACCCCAAGGCAGGAATGTACGTTTATTGAGCTTATACGTAAAGTGCAGAACTAGGCATTTGTGAATTTTCATGTGCTGTACAGTCTCTAGCATCGGATTATTCTTCTTAAAACTCTTACAACTCACACAAGTGAGATTAGTAGAAAAATAGTTGCGCTTAGAGCCTATGGAATGGAAGGTGAAGCAGGCTCAATGATCACGTCGCGAAAAAATCGCTCGGTTTGACCCCTTCCAGGAAGAAATCAAGTCGCATGTTCGGAACAAATGGATTTTTCTTTCCCAGACAACATCCTTCGATCCTCTCCTTTTCAGATTTCACATCTCTGGGCGACCGAATGAAAGAGACGGGTTACAAAATCACGACCGCAGAAGACGCTAAAGGTATCCGGCGACCTTTCACTGTTATCAGAGGTCTGCACTCCTTTACGGTGACGCATGATTATGACGCAGGAACAAAACGAATTCACGAAAGCTGCGAGGTAATCCATTTTTCAAGACTGTTTGAATTCGGTCTGTACGCTAGAAACCGATGTAGATGAGGTTAGAAATTCATCACGAGTCAAGTAACAGGCTTGCGCTGCCCACAGAGTTCGCACACTGAACCTCTAATACCTGACAGTATAGTAAAATATGCAGTGAGAGCAGCCCATTATCTGTTTTTATCAATTGACAAAACTACCAGTCGTCCGCTACCAAAGTCCCTATTCCTAAAATTCTGAAATTTGATAGTGTAAAGACTTCTATATCTTTTGCAGAAACTAAGCACACCTGATTATGTAGCCAGCTATGAGTATGGTCATCTAACTATTATATTCCCTTATTAAAGCTTATCAGCTGTTAGCAGGTCTCGTCACACACGTATAATGTTCCTGTGAACCGCCCTATAACCTCATGCCTTGGAGCTAATGTCCCACTTTTGCTGGGACCCACGCTATAAATAATAAGATTCTAATGAGATTTTATAGTATTTCGATTGCTAAAATCATTAATACACCTTTCTTATCCAAGTTTTGAGGGGGGAGGGGTGGCTCAAAGAGGTATTAGTTTCCGTTCCGCACGTAGCCTTAGACGGAAACTTTGCAATATCCTCCTTCTGTGCTCATACGTAAGGGAAAGGAGGAATAAGGCGTTTCATCTTGATAATTTGATTATTATATGAACATAGTAAAAGTTGATAAATGTTTAGTTAAGTTAACTTACTTGCTCTTGTTTGTAAGAAATTTTGTTCAAATTTTATGTCTCATATGTAGCTTCTTTCTGTTACGTGTTTATACACTACACAAAAGTCCACGTATGTGCAAACTCATAAGAACAGAAAGAAACGTTCATATGCTCATTAAAATTCATTGAAAAATTTTTTAGCTCACGGGCTCTTCCTCTGTGCACCATGTAAATGAGGTTGAATGAGTCAGGTTATTTTCAAAAGAAATATCATAGTTTATCACTAAGGATAATTTGATTTATTTTTGATTCGAATTGCTTGCAAATTTTCTTATCACCGCCCTTGAGATGATTTGGAAACAATTGTTCTTTTTGATTAAACATCCGGAAGGAAAATCTTTAAGAACCAGATTTTTTATTCAAAACCTTGGAGATGTCGTTGGTTTGCAGTTTGTATTTGTATTTTATGAAATCGTTTTTAGTGAGACATTTGACAAGGCTAATTATGAAGGTGCTCGTATCATAACCTGATTCTTTCAATTTTTCGTTAGTGTTCTACAAAGTCCAATGCGTTTGAACATGTCCGAGCTATTCTCAGAATTTCTGAGTGAATTGTGTCAACTTTGATGCGATTAGAGACATTTGTTGTGAAATTAGGAAAGCGTTTAATCGAAAAACCAAAAGTATCTGTTTTATTGTACATTTTTGCGTACATCTTGTTTGTTACAATATCAATCTCTTGATCCAGATAGTTGCATTTGTATTCGTTTTCATGTGTATCCTCAAGTTGAAAACATTTTTATATACATCATTAAGTTCATCTAGAATACTTTGTGTGTTTCTGTTGTATATTATGAGAATGTCATCCATGTATCTGAAAGGTTTCATCTGTATCTGCTTGTTGTTGTAATGGTTAATGGAGTAGATGTATTCAAAGTAAGAGAATGTAAGGTCATCTAGGAGAGGACTCACATTACTACCTTGAGGTACTGTCTTTTGTTTAAAAATATATTCTGAGAAACGACAGTAGGAGGTGTCGTTGGTGTAGAAAGTTATTCTGTCATTGGTAGCAATGTAATATTTGTTACTGTTTTCGTAACAAATTTTAAGTATTTCTTTGATGTTGTGCATTATATGAGGATGTGGAAGATTAGTAAACATGTTGGTGAAGTCTGCTGAAAAGAGTGTTATATTGTCCATACGTAAATTCTGGAGTTGTTCACTAATGTTATGTTATTGATCGCCCAATATCCTATGTATTGAGTATTTCTGCATTTAATAGTATTGTTATAGTTGAAGGAATGACATTTTGTACAGCTGAGTATTTTCGTGAGTTCCATGGATAAAGGTTTGAGGCTACTTGTTATAGCTCCCGTTATGAATCGAAATTTCACTGGGGATTTATGTAATTTGGGTATTGCGTAAATTGTAGGTACTTCATATGCGGTATGTTTTTTGTTGGTATTGAAAATTCTATGTTTATTAATTATATTATCTGTATTCGTGTTATCTATATAGACATATGTATCGTTATAATTCTCAATAAATAATGGTGAGTTGTTGTAGTGTTTAATTCCCATTTCATTCATGATGCTACTAATATATAGTTTCTTGCGAATGATACCGTAGTTACTGTTTGCTTTATGTGGACAAAATATGAAATCTCTATGAACTCGGAGGCCCTCTCCTTTTAACGCCTCTTATCGGATCTTATCAGCTGATGTCACTAGAAACGGAATAAAAAAATCCATATGACGGACCCTAGAGGCTATTCTGACGTCAGACTGCGTCTACACCATTAAAGAGAAGGATTTTAGGTCGAAGTCGCATTGGAAATGAAATGTATACCGACTGAAAGGTCTCCGAACAGGGACTAGGAGCCGTCTTCCATAATTTGAGGAGAGTATTCCACAACTGATGTTTTTAGCGAATGAGCTGACCTTGAAAAATGACTTTATTCTCCAAATAACATGGCTGAATCTGTAATCGCAGGAAGTTGTGCGCGAAGATGAATGTACTTGGAGGAAAGGCTCCCCCACGAAGTGATTTGACGCGACAACCTTGCCGGAAATCATGATCGGCAAGGCCTTCGTTTATCAGTCACACAGTGTTGAAGATTATCTTATCCCAAAGTGGTGATTTCGCACCTGCTGGATGTCTTCGGCCCGTATGGCAACACCATCAGCCACAAGTGTTCTCCATAGAAATCGTTCGCACTATCTCCATTAGTTCAGAAACATTACGTTACGACGATATTGAGCCCAAGAGTTGTGCATGATCTTTAGAGGTTAAATTTACGATAAATTTACGATTTTTATAGGTCAGTCAGTGATCAGACCAGGAATACGGCACTTACGTCTAGCTGTGGTGTCATTTATCGCCAATTCGAGAACTCTCCTCGCACTGAATTCTTGATGTGCGGTCATATGACGGACCTTAAAGGCTATTCTAACGTCAGATTGCGTCTCCACCAATAAAGAAATGTTAGGATCACGAGCAGAACCATCACTTACCTCTACGGGCAAACGTTTATACGAAAAGGATTTTTCTTACTTTATTAAGCACAATGGACCATTTCGTCGGCAATGGTTTTCGGAGTCAGAGGAGCAAAAGGGAATTTTTCGAGCAAATATACCAAAGGAAAGATCGGTAAGCGGCGAAGTGAGAAGAGGGTTCTGCCCACTTTTTTCTTCATTTACATTCTTTGTGAAGTGAGATATAGAGGAGGTAGAGGTATAGAGAAGATGGAAATAAAAATATCGAGCTAAAGAAATAGGTGCTAATCTCTCAGCGGTTGGTAGATATTTGCTTAAGAGTCCCTACTGTTCCTTAATTTCTGTGCAATTTTACGTCATTTAAATGAGTGTCGGGCTGACACAAAAGTGAGTTTCTGATAACATGTTTGGGTTTTATCAGTGCTCTCAAATTACAGAAAAAGCTCAAAACTTTTGCTATATGTGAACGAGGAAATATGCTTCTTGTAATAGCTTGAAGTTGGTTCCAGCGTTCAACAGATAGAAGTTTGGACCTTGCAATGTGCGTACGGGGGAGAGTGCCTGCGGAACATTTCACCTTACTTTCGTACTTAGCATCAACTGAGGGTGATGCTTGATAATGATAAGAAAGCATTCCATGACATCTACCACTTCCCAACCTTTGGCTTACATCTCCGTGAATAAGGGAATTCAGTGATTTCTCAGTCGGACTCAATAGGGCATTAGGTTCTATGCTTGTCTGTGTTTTCTGAATCAAGATCTCCGAATAGCTCGAACCGTCGTAAGCATGCCTAAGAGACATAGCCTCTTGGTCATATATAAAGCAATTGAGCGTGTGCGGTTTCAGCACTTTAATGAGCAGGTAAAAAAGAGAGGTTGTCGAAATTGCTCAGCCTGGTCGACATGACAGTCGAGTTTGAGCACTTAAATGTTAGCGCAAAGAAGGACTTCAAGGAAGTATAAAGACTGTCGTATAGGGCAAGAGTTCCCTCCGAACAGTATGTAACTCACTAGCAAAACGTTTCATTTTTAGCGAGACATTTCAATGGAGAAACTTATGCCATTACCTTTGGGTCGACCCAATAAATAGGAATGACAACGTGGGCGTTTTGGTATCAGTCGCCCATTCCACGCTGTCATCGACACCACCCGTTTTGTAATGACGATTCTATTAAAGCAGAATCCGGACTTTTATGACCTACTTGCTACGTAACATCACTCACAGACTCAGCAAATCATGTTCCCCATCATCATGACGTACTAACGAGAGCTCCCATGTTGAAGGTTTTCCACGATTAATAAATTGATTGCAAAGTTCTGCGACCTCATGAAAGTAATTCAAAATAAATTTGCTCACATAGCGAAGGTATCTGTACAGAAGCCCATCTTTATGGCTTCAGTTTCTAGGACATTGCCAGCATGGGTGTGGCAGCAACTCCCTTATTGGACTACATAAGTGCTTTGCTTGAGATGAGAAAATGTCGTCAATCTTTCTTTAGCACATTCGTGACAATGTCCGCCACTGGTGGGTGGACACCGAAATGTTCACTTCGGACCGTTTCCAGTATACAGGGAGGGGGGGGGGACAAAAAAAAGACATTTCGACCGAATCACATATCAGCAAAGTTTTCGCAGCCCAGACAGAGGACGTGGATACGAGTACTAGGGCGCAAGATACCCCAGATGTTCTTCTAAGCAGGAGCTGGCGCTTGCCCATCACCTTCATGTACACCAAAATATGAAGTCATCTCCAGTCACAGCCTGATTGGAGAAGACCACTGAAATTCGTGTCGCCTCCAAACTGCTGCGAAACTTCTAGCATGGAGTCAACCATGGATAGTTACCTGAAGAGCAGTACTCTCGATCTAGAAGACCTCCAACATCAAGCAACTCCGACAACGTCGCTACGGTCCAGGATATCATCTTCACCTCAGTCGCCAAGGCGCCAGTTGATGGCTGGTGCGGGCGGAATTAGATAGGGTGGTCTACAGTAGCGGAGAAGTCAACGATCTCGCTTAACTCGGGCACGCACTCACGGTCGCGTGGCAGAATCTCTCGATGGCGCTCCTCCAGAAGGCTGTGGCGAAGTATCTTGATAGTATTTGATATGTTCTTCAATATGGTGGTGAAAATGTCCGATCAGAATTTAATAAAGTGTAACTTATAGTGCCTCGGAAGTCAGCGAAGAAAAAAGTTTTTTTGACTCCTCCTGTATATGGCGGACGGGCTATCCATGGTTTTTCAAGAATTAGTTCAAATTCTTCGAAGGGTTCTTCCCAGTGGGACAAGTCTACATACCTCTGTTAAAGGCACATTCCGCAATAAAATGAGGCTATGACCTCTCAAATGTGTCGGACGATCCGGAAGGCGATTTCTGAGGTTGCGCTACTTTCAAAATGTGAAAAACGGCAAGAACTCCGCTAGAAGCTGACTAATTAGGCCCATGGACACCCTTTAGGCCCATGCCGACCCTCACCGGCTGCTAGCTACTAGCTAGTAGCCACTATGTTATCTTTCTCTATAAGATTTCGAATTGCTTCTTCTGCTGCTTTTCTCCGCTAATCAGATACCTAGCACTTTTTTGTGCCTATCTGAGTTCCGTTTGCAATTTGCGGTCGCAAACTGTGCCTTTAATTTATGCAAGTAGTGGACCAGCGAGATCCTCAGTTATAAGGGTCAAGCACCTCCAACCAGCAGCACGAATATTTGAAAAATTACATGCTGAAATGTTGCCTATAAGGATTACGTGGTGCCCTCATCATGTATATAACCATTTCTGGCGCCGGCGCCATTCGACGCTACTTGGTGATAATGGGCTAGAATTCGGGACCGATCTCTTTTCACCAGAACCGACATACAGTCCTCATCATTGCGGACCGGTGGGGCGTGTCAGCCAGTATGAGTGTGCACACTGTTGAAGCCGTCCTCAGCCTTTTTGTTGAAACGCGTATGCGACAAAAAGTGGAACGAGTAATACACTTTCACTTTTGGAGGATATAATACAGTCATATCATTTTCTCGCTTAAAATACTGGTGGAGAGCGGGTTTGGCATCGCGCCAAACGCAGCCGCACTGAACCGCCCCGCCAGTGCGTAGTGATGAGGACTGTACTTTTGCGTAGTACGCCTTTTACGTCATGATGATTAGTATTACATTCAGTCTGCTCCACTTGATGCTAATATTACGACTAAGACATCCACTACAGACGCGGGTGCTGCGCCAATTTGGTGCTGTCACCTTTCCATCAAAATTGATGTTAGCTTGCACACCAGGGTTATTTGCTCCTGATCAATGTCAGGCGTGACGTCCCTCGATCCCATCCGTCCTGATAGAGGTGTCCATACCCCTCCCCCCTTATAGGCTGCCGAGATGCGCTCCCATAATTTGCGGTTGCGTCGCGTGCTGTGAGAGTAGAGCGTTGCCTGACCCACTAGATTTCCATAAATCTTCAGCTTCTCACCAGGATTTGCTCCGAAACGTGGAACCTTTCTGCTGAAGGCGAGTTTTTGACTTTTAATGCAACTATTTCGTCCGGAAATGACTCACATACACAGGAGATCTACACTGTTTTGAGAGGTCAAAGATTTTCTCTTTGAAAGAAACACTATATATATCCTACTATATATTAATCCCCTAAGTGTGTCCTTTGTGTGTGGTGTGTGTGTGTGTGTGTGTGTGTGTGTGTTTGTGTGTGGTGTGTGTGTGTGTGTGTGTGTGTGTGTGTTTGGGTGTGTGTCACGAAATTCATAACACCTGTTCCTTACTAGCAGAGAAACGTTGCTTCCAGGAAGTGATGGAGGGGGTGTGACGGGAACACCATTGGTGAGTGACAGGATGTGGTATCAGTTGATAAGAGTCGATAAGAGGCGTCCAAAGGGGATGGCCACCCAGTCCATGGTGCGGGCCAATGCAGCAGTGGGACGTTGGTTCCGAGCCGTGAAATAGGGGTGGGACGAAAACATTACAGGTAGGTGACA